CAGCAACAAATGATGTCCACCAGACCGTGACTAGTGTGCTCCAAACTTTCGTGTAATTCATGCGTCCAGGCCACGGGGAGCCTGCGGATGCTTTTCCCTTGGAGGCGGGTGCTTCAAGTGATTTCAGGCGGAATTTGTTGGCCGAAAGTCAGTGGTTGGAACAGGTAGGTTGCTGCAGTTTGATGCTTGAAGGGTGATATAGCTTCAGCTTTTCATCTATATATATATAGCCTGGAATTAATTAGGTTGGAGGGCCATCGCTACTAGGTTGGAGGCCATTGCTATTGCGTGTACTTTTGTTTGCCTGTTGGTTCAAGCCGCTGCCCCGTCTCAGTGACTTGTCCACATCTTAGTGACTTGCTTCGAAAGAAACAAGTGCAAACAAGTAGTAAGGCCAGGAGCCCCTAGTAGCGTCCTTGTTCCTAGTAGCGAACCTTGTTACTAGTAGTAAGGCACTTGTTACTAGAAGCGATGCACTTGTTACTTGCTTCGAAAGAAATCACTTCAATCTCTTCAAAGATTTCACATCCTTTTCGCTTGAGGCTGAAGCCATGGAAGCCCAGCGCGGGCTCTTAGATATCGAAGAACGAAGGCACAAGTGCCGCAAGAACTCATCATCAAACAATTGTGGGGACACGGAAACGGAGAAATCTGCAGAATTGGTATGTAGGTATAAGAAGGTTTTGGGGCCATTTTGACGAAATGCCGGCACGCTGAAACTAAGAGCTCAGGACGAGCAATGGAGTTCGTCGAGGGTTGCTCGCTCTGCTCCAAGTCTTGGACAACTTGTCACAGTTTGGATTTATCCAACAAAAAACGAAAAAAACAACTAAAAGCAACGTAGAAGCAATGGCCTCCAACCTACTAGCGATGGCCTCGTCTCTTCAAAAGATTTGGGAAATGTCAGGCTCTCGCTGCCATGGTGGCAGTAGCATGGTGTGTCCCTCAGTGATGCCCGTTGCTTCTTACTCCTGTGCAGATGATGCAGTGAGGCTGCGCTCGGCACCTTCTGAAGACTTCCTGTTGATGTGCCAGGACAACAGCGGTGTTCAAGCCTTAGTCACTTTTATTCAACATGAAAAAGCTGCCCAAGAACGAGAGAGAATGAGAGAGTGTAAGAGAGAATTGAATGATTGGAGACAGGACACCGACCAGAATTTTCATTGTTCCGGTTTCCAGGGCGAATGGTCCCTGCACTTTATTCTCTTTCTTGCTCCACGGATGATCTGCCGACTTGTCGTTCAAGCTATGTACTCTCGGCGGGATTGCTTTTCCGCAAAGTTTTCTTCGCCAATCCCTGCCTTCTTCGTGCCTGGTTCTACCCACCTCCACGTGAAACTCATAGTTATAGGGCTATCAGGTCCTTGCAGAGTTCCATATTGAGGACCTAAATACTAGTATAAGCTTGTATCTTGGAAGCCATTGCTAGTAGGTTGGAGGCGATTGCTATAGTATAATAAGCTTGTATCTTGGAAGAATCACGGGGTCCTGCATAGGATAAGTTTAACCTTTGTCCAGGTCAACTGATAGGGTTGTCAATCAGCTTTCACATCCGAGCAGCTCAAGCATCGTCAGACTAATGTTTGACTGTCCGCTCAATTCTCTTGACACAAGGGAAGAATGCATGATGGAATTCAAGCTTCTTGCCAAATGGATTCAAGCCCAGTATCCAGAGAGTAAGACTATCAGATCACATGTGAGGCCTACAAGATGAAGGTTATGGGAGTGGTCGGCAAGGGGAGCAAGCCACATATTCGCGCAATTGAGCCTGGAGATGTGGTCAGTCTCTCATGGGCGTGTTGAGCGACGAGCGAGGTCTTTACGGTGTGCATGGCTTCACTTAAAGACTTAGCAGACTCTGAAAGAACACGTGCAAACAGTTAAGCTTCCCAAAGAATCTAGGAACCAAATCATCAGTGCATGAGTTATCCCAGTAGCTAGGAGCACACTATTTTCTCCCTTACTTGATTAAGTAGGCACCTACTTCATTAAGTACGGAGCGAGCTTCTTGTTCCTAGTAGTAATGCCAGGAGCTACTAGTAGCTTCTTGTTCCTAGTAGTAAGGCCAGGAGCCCCTAGTAGCGTCCTTGCTCCTAGTAGCGATGCCCTTTTCTCCTAGTAGCGTTCTTGCTCCCAAGTAAGGAGGCAGGGCCAACAAAAAGACTTAGCTGAGGTCGTTGTGATTGGACGCACCGGAGGCCCCAAGAACAAGGTCTTGCGTGCCATTGTCACGCGCATGCGAAGAGTCACTTTGGTTGCAAAAGAGCGCATAAGCCTGGCATAGAAGGTGTGGTCTCAAGATCTTGCCACCGAGGGCTCACCTCGTGTCTCAAGCTAATAGCAATGGTCTCCAACCTAATAGCGATGGCCTCTGGCCTCCAACCTAATATGGCCTTGAACCTAATAGGGATGGCCTCCACTTGCCACTGAGGGCTCACCTGATCCTTTGAAGAACGGGATGAGAAACACCTTTGACACCAATTGCGGCGTGCTGGTCGAAGTCTCAGCCATGCCAAAGGGACTGCACCCTAAGGCATTCCATTTCAAGAATTGCATAGAAAAAGAAGCATGTTCATCAATTTTCTAGTTAGCAATGGCATCAATGGGTTGAAAGTTACAGCAGAGAGTGCGTGTGTACCAGTGCTGCGTCCAAGGGATCCTTTTCTTAATACCATTGCTCGTTTTGCGTGTACAGAAAGCAGCTAACTTGACATGTTTGTGGCGCAAAGAGCGGGGCAGGGGCTTAAGCTCACTGGCTACAGTGGTCCAGAAGATACTTCATTGCCCTCATCCGCCATAGACCCATCAAGACCTATGGGGTCTCCTTTGTGGGTCTGAGATATTCAAACCGTCCTGCAGTCGGGTTTATTGGTTCAACACTGTTTTCCGTTGGCGTGATCGCCTTGAGGTTGGCTCGAACATTTTTACCTAGCGCGATCACTTGCTTTCATCGCCACCTTTTGTCATTCCAATTCTTCCAAGGGACATGACATACATGCGCATGCCAATTCACCTTGCTATTGCAGTGCCAATGCGACCTAATACGAGTGCTCGTGCGTGTACATAGTACAAGCTGCTGGATTTGTCCACAATTTGGAAGCTGTTTGCGATTGGCTCGTTCACCAGGTCGACAAGGAGGGGAACCCAGTTGGTCACAGGCTCAGGGTGTTTTCACAAAGGCTGTTGATGACGCTGTCAGCTCATCACCGAGGAAGCAAAATTCTGGGCAAGATTGACCCCAGGCGGATGGGCTGCTACAAATTCTTCAAATGTTGCGCTTGTAGGTTGGAGGCCATCGCTATTAGGTTGGAGGCCATCGCTACTAGGTTGGAGGCCATCGCTAGTAGGTTGGAGGCCATCGCTAGTGGGTTGAGGGCCATCGCTAGTAGGTTGAGGGCCATCGCTAGTAGGTTAGGAGCCATCGCTATTGGGTTGGAGGCCATCCCTAGTAGGTTGGAGGCCATCGCTCTTAGGTTGGAGGCCATCGCTCTTAGGTTGGAGGCCATTGCTCTTAGGTTGGAGGCCAT